GTGAGTGTGAGCGCGGATGGTTGTTCGTCTGCGATTAACTGGCAACCAGTTCAGGATGTCCCCCGCCTATTACCCGAAGACAGCTGGGATGGACTCCAGCAACCCCCGCGATCCTTATGAGGATACCGGTAAGCGGATCGGAAAATGGATGGATGGATGGGTGGAGAACATATGGGACAATTTTTTTAGGTGGCTTTTTAAAACAATTCATCTGGCGGTTTCATTCTTTTGAGAATATGGTCTAAATTACCTTCTATGGATAACGGGCTGTTCCTTCCACAACCCCTTCTGTTGATTGTTGCCTCTGGGTCAGAAGTGGATGTCTATCCATCCATCCATCCATCCATCCATCTATTTTCTATAATGTGTGTCCTCATTGGGGTCACAGCCGAGCTGGAGCCAATCCCAGCTGACTTCGGGGGAGAGGCGGGGTACATTTGGCAAATAACCATTCACCCTCACACTCATATGGACAATTTCGAGTCTTCCGTTACGCTAACATGCATGTTTCTGGAATGTGGGAGGACTCCAGGGAGGCACACTAGCACAAGTCAGAATATGCAAACCCTACAAAGGAAGGCCGGACTTTGAGTTGACACCAAACCTCTGAATTGTGAGTCTTGCCAAGAGGTACTATATCCGTATTTCTGAGATGATGATGATGGCTTCGAAGAACAAGGCAATGTTGATCCCATCCTATTGTTGAGCATGAGTCTCAAAATTCTCCACAAGAGGCAAAACATTTGCGCTAATTTAAAGTCGAACGGGAATAACAGGCCAATCTGGTGGTGGACTATTTACAGTAAAGTGGCTCCACACAATTATTTTCGCTGACTTGCTGGGTTTTTCAAGCCCGGGAGAAAAACCTGACCTGATTTAATTTGAAGTGGAATCCGTGCAAAGCGCCAAGTGTGTGCGCAGAGTTGAGTAACAAGCCAACGGCTATACTCCCAAGCGGCCGCAGGGCCTTGGCTGACCCTCATAGGACGCTCTAACCGGAAGTCTTAAATCAGCAATGCGTCAGGGCAATACAGGGGATTCGCTCAGAATCTGCTTTTTGTACATTAAATTGGGATTTGCTGGAGTTTGGCATCATTGACGTAAAGCATGATCATGTATTTGCACAGCCCCCGTCCCCATCTGTGCACACTGTACGTAGCATTTGTCTTTTTCCAGTCCAGTACTGTGCTCTGCTTTTTTTTTTTTTCCTCCCCTCTTTGGGGTCACTGTACTTTAGCTCCTTCTTTTCCAACAAAAAACATTCCCTAAGTTTGGCTTGCAAAATATTCTCATTTTAAAACAATTGTTCCCACTGAAATGAAAATGGTGTTCATCCAAGAGTCAATAATTCCACAGACATTGGTATGAAACAGGCAAAGGGACCGGCTCCAAAGACCCGTGTGTCTCTGGTCGCACATGATTTAGGTGTGCTCATGTATGTGATGAGGAAAAATCAATCACGGCACAAATAAGACGATGATCCACCAAAGTCAGGTAGTAGGTTGCACAATGATGATGGACGCCGATGCTGCAAATCAATTAAAAACACACGGACCGCATTGACAAGTGCATGGGAAAGAGAACCGTGTCAGGACTTTGCAAATACCTCAAATGAATCTGATGTTGAAACAGAAGGATGAAAGTCACAACGCATGGAGCAAAGATCAAACCTTGGGAAGCGTCTAGACATGGGACTTGCGCCCGAGGTTTCGCTGGTGGAAGACGTCGCCTTATCTTGAAAGTATAAACATTGACACAAACAATTTTTAGACAAGAAACAATTTTTAGACAAGGCCACCAGAATGTCTGGTTGTTACAAAACCCCAACGCAAATACACCAAACGCCAACGGCGTGGAGTTGACATCCAATATAGACCATGTTTGCACTCTTCTACTGTATCAGTTGCACATCCATATCGAGCTGCACCTTATCTTCTTACTACACGCCACTATTTGTGCATGCAACTTTGCTCCGTTGTATTCTGTTTAGAGTTCTTTTTTTTTTTTTTTTTTTTTTAATATCTGCCAAGGAAACTTTCCAAAGTCAGATTATAATTGCTCATTGTGACCATTGTGTTTCTGCATGCGTGACAATAAATCTCAAGTTTGACAGCGTGGAAAGAAACCACAGTCAACTAAAAGTGGAAAGTCGCCGCGTAGAGCGAACACCTCTGCCAAAGAGGAAAGTTTAAGGCCTGTGAAGAACAATTTGAAACAAAACATTGTTGAGAGGTTATATTTTTAAACTGCTGGCAAAATATGGATGAAGGCGAACTTTACTTTTGTTGCAAACCAGAAGTGCGTCTTCCACCATATTTTCAGTAAAGCTCCTCAAGCCCAATGTAAAAGGTAACAGCGAGAGGTCGCGTGGGGGTGTGCCCGTGTGTGCTCGAGACTAAAGTCAGGCATTCTGTCTCTGTTTTTTTTTTTTTCTTCGAGAGCAGTGGTTTCTTAATCATCAAAAGTGAGGCACAAGAAGAGGCCAGAGAGGGGTCAAATGTCCCTACAGTGAAATTTTAAAAAGTGACCCTCTCACCTTCCAAAAAACCGAACCCTCTTCCTTGCAACAAGCATCTCAAAGTTACATGATATTATTTGTGATACTGCATGCCGGATATCGTGAATGACACCATTTGCATTCCGATGAAAACAAAAATGTAACTGCTTTCCCCTATCCACACATTTCCATGAGAATCAGGTGTAATTTTCTGCCCAACAACATTTCAAATGCTTTCTCCAACATTGGCTTAGTTGCTCATCTTTTGTCCACCTGATTTCTGCTCATTAGGAAGCCCAGTTACGACCACACAAGCAGCTGGCGGATTAAACTCTCGGCCGAATGTGAATGTTTAATGAACAGAGAAACGAGGGCTTTATATTGATTATGAAAGAACATAAGGGGTGGCATGAAAGAATAGCCTCTTTGTGCCGTCGTGCGGTGGGAAGTGATGTGGCCCAGTTGTAGATCATGTTCTGGAGCTCGGCGGGGACAGCCTGAGAGGTATTTTCCCCTCATTATGTTGGCCGAGTGCCCAGAGGGGAGACGGCACTGGACTTCCAGACTAGTATGTTAAAGTTCATGGCTGCAGCCTGCCTGTCTGCTGGTTGCCGAAAACTTTCTGTGTGCCCACGCGTGCTTGCGCTCACACACGCATGTGCAAGTGAGATTGCACAGGTGTGCGAGGGCGCGAGTGTGTGTCTTGTCCACTCTGTTGTGTGTCCCTCCCTCCATAGGCACTTTGTATTTATGGGAGTTGGGGCAAATGTGGCGGCGCACGCCACACCACAGCCACCTACATGCCGTTTCAAAATGCGTTTCAATTTTTTTTTGCACATCAGTCTGCCTAAGTGAAATGGTTGGTACGGGATGGACAAAAGAACAGCGATGGTGGGACATTGAGTCCTGCAGTCTATGATGTATTTTAGTATGTTTGGGTCCCGGGTAGAAACCACATTTCTAATTACACAACATGACCATTATATTCTTGACTTTATATTTTAATGTCCTCCAACCAACCATTTTCAATACCACTTATTTTCAGAGTCGCAGGTGTGCTGGAGCCTATCCAGGCTGACTTTGGGCAGATGGTGGCATACACCCTGAATTGGTTGCAAACTAATCACAGGGCACATTGAGGCAGACAGAAAACGATTCACACTCCAATTCTGCTCCCAATTGAGCTGCTGTCACACGAACTCCAATGACATCATCATAAATATTTTTAAAAGGCTGCTTGGATCAAAGCTGGATAAATAGAGAGATGGGTTAATAATCACTGTATGCTTGAGGTTATTTCCAAATTTAGCGTGACCGATCCCTTGATGTCACTTTGCCGATTCCAAACTGCCATGTGATGGGACACGAAATAGGGGGGGGAAAAACACTGCGGTCAGGCCCATGTTTAAAATTGGTATTGGAAATCACAGTCATCGAGTCCTCTGGGCTGAAAAGTCAAAGGACCACCCAGAGTGTCACCAGCATGTGAAATGCTTTCGGCTCGCGTTAGTGCCCATCGCATGACTGATGGCCATGCGTTGCCAAGGCGCATTGTCCACATTACGTGGCATGGCTTTGTGGTGTCGGAAAAGAATTTGAAAATCATTACCTTCTAAATGTATTTTCACTTCACACAACATTGAATCCTTTGGGGGAATTTGTTGTTCATCATTTATGACTTTTGCTCAACGGTTTCAACCTTCAGGGCAGGGCTGAGGAACCTTTTTTCCCCAATCGGGGGTCATTTCCTTTTCGCCACAGTCCTCCGAGAGACATACTAAATTCATGGGAAAAAAAAAAAAAAAAAACAAGATGGAAAAACGTAATCCAGCACATGCTGATGATTGTTTATTACAACCATTTGCAAGTTTGATATTTTTGGTGTTTAACGGTCTCACTGAGGTTTGATTTGTTTTTACAATTGCATGGTGGGTCATTTCGAATTCTTCCACAAGTTGTCTTATGGCCCAGATGCTGTTTAGGGGAGGGTTCATCAGGTGGATTTTTGCCCTGTGACAGCATAACTGATGTCGGGTCTGAAGTGACACCGAGGAGCTTTCTTAAAACTTCAAGTGCAATGACACAAAATGCTTATGTCGTATAGTTGTCTGGAAAATTTTGAAGTCTAGTTGACGTTATTAGTTTCATGAATATTAGTTTTGGAAGTATTTTGTTCCACTTTTTGGGGAATCCAGGAAACAATCAGAAATATGAAAACAAATATTGAAAAAAAAATGTGAACATGTGATTCCATGAGTGCCATATGCAGGGGTCGTCAGTTATTTTAAGTTGTAATATCACCAATGACCACTAGGTGGAAGACATGTCTTCGTTGCGCTTAAACTGGGTATTGTACAGTATATTACATGAGTTGGACTAATCATTTTTTTAGCAGCTCTGGAATGACATGCAGGACAAGCATAAGCACCTCAATAATATTAAAATTTTGAGTGAGTTGATTTTTTGGGAGAAAAAATGAGTTAATTCTTATCGCGATCCATTTCTAACAGAGGGAATCAAAATGTGACGGCCCGTTTGATAAATGCAAATGTACATGGCAGTCATCACTATTATTAATTACAGCAAAATAATGCACTTTGTTCCAGCGGTGGTTTTTGTACGGTAGAAATAAAGTTGAGTTGCTAAGCTTCTGGCACACATAAAATTTCTCTTTGAATGGATTAACAACGAGCGAACCTTCTAACATGAGCACCAATGAACAAGGATTAGACTTAAATGAAAAACTTGCTCCAGCTGCTCATGGCATTGTGAAAAAAAACCCAAAACTTTTATGTTGCTCTCAATTTATTTCTTACCCATGTGTAAGGACTTGAAAGTATGCGGTGAATGGCATCTGTTGAATTCACAACATCTGGCCGCCACATGTACTCAGTCCGACTGTATGTGGAAGACGTTTTCCTCGTCCACATGATGGATGACCACTCTCATGGCAACATGTGCGGCTATAGGAAGTGAGTCAGCCTCTTCTGTGATTGGTCACCAAACAATCAGGCTCCTGGAATCGAATCAATATCAAGTTAGATGGCAATTAGTGGTCATTTTACCAGTATGCATGATAACAGCTGGCTCAAATGGTGTGATTTTTTTTTCTCCCACGGTAGACTGCAGTCCAACAGAGTTTTTACTCTACACATCCACTGCAATGTGATACAATCCACAGGCCGTGGGTTGAGGCCTTGTTACACTGAGCCATAGAAACAAAATTTGAGTTGGCCTTACAAAACATGTTTTTGGCACAGGGAGGCCCGAGTCGACACACAGATTGGAACGCGTGACTTTCTTGCAGAGCGGTGGTGAATAGAAGCAGACCATCCAGTTGTGCTGCCACATTCTGAACATATGTTTTCATTTCACAGCAGACGGCGGTTGAAGTAGGATGGCACTGCAACCGGCAGAAAGGTTGATGGATTTATTTATTTTTTAATATGTATATTTTAGATATTTATGTATATCGCGTCGGGATCAGTGCTCAAGTTGTGCAGTCCGCAGCTCCACAGAATAAGATTCTTTTTCAGAATCGTTCACCTCTCGTGTTACGTCAAGACCAATTTGGCGAAAAGACGTTCATGTTGCGTCATGAACAAAATGTGGTGATTGACTTTTGGAATTCTTACAAGAATATTTGTGTTATTTTGAGGGCGTTTCAGCGTTAGGCTAGTTCCAAGTACCAGGTCACATTCTCGACTAAAGCTGTCGTTAGTGTACACATGCTGAAACGAATATTTGGTCAAATCATTCCAAACCTTCTTCGAGCAAAAACATTCCTTTGTTAATTTGGATGTATGCATGAGGTCAATGTCATGCTAAAAGGTGAAATTCCTCTTCATCTTGAGCTTTTTTTTTTTCTTTCTCCACAGACAGCTGAAGGGGTTGCGCTATTTGGACCTGTACATAATCCCCTCGACCTTGACTAAAGCCCCTGTTCCAGCTGAAGAAAAACAGCCCAAGGCGTGATACTTCAACGACCATGCTTCACTGTTGCGCACATGGTGTTATTCTGGTGATGCATGGTGTTGTGTTCATGCCAACTTAAATCCAGTTGAAAATGCGTCGGGGGTTGTGCACAAGAGTTGCAATATAATCTGACACCTTGAGAGCATGAGGAAGAGTGGTCAAATGTTGGAGACAGACTAATAATACCCCCAAAAGACAGAATAAGGCATATACAATTTGCAGGGTGTGCTGTTATGCAGTCAGTCATCAGGGCAAAAAAACAAAAAGGTGGATTTTTATGTTTTTAATTTTAGATTCATCACCTAAAAAAATTGCTTTCAGTCAATCCCGCGATTCAGCATATTTGTGGATTTAAAAAAAAAAATCACTATTTTTTAAAATAGCGAATGTTTACGGTTTTTTATGTTCTGAATGTATGTTTGCATTTCAATGGCCATCAATCATGCGCGGCTTCTCACGATTCTTTTGCTCATTTGGTCCCTGTCCCCTGCGGCTTGTGGGGGTTCAACTAGATTTTCAATTAAAGGCATTCTTTACTTCTTGAGCAATTTTCAGCAGTAAAAAAAGTTAATATTTTCAAGTGACGTTCGCAAGTTGAGCCGTGATTGGTCATTACTTGACCCGAGTACATGTGATGTCCTTTTCGAAAATTGGCAAAATGCTTTTTTGGAAAGTTGTGAACTGTACATGAATAATAATCAAGCTATCAAATTTATTATAGACAACATATCAACTCATTACTGCAAAAAATGTTAAAGTGAGTTAAAAAAAAACAAACTTTAATGTGCTGAAATAATTTCTCAAAGTCTTATTGTTTTCTGAAACTGATCGCGTTTTATATCCACTGTATGTTGACTTCGGACAGATGTAAAGACTGCCTGGGACTGACTTCAATCCTTAAGAGAACTATTACGGCATCAAAGGGGATGGAAAAAAAAAAGTACAGAACAAGACCGCTTTGGTGTCTGTCTAGGTCAGCTGATCCCATGTGACTGAAATAATGGGGCATTCAGGATGTCATGAGCTGCAGGTGTAAAGACTCGAGAGCGGTTGCAGCTGCTTGCGACTTTCAAACAATTGCTGGTGTCCATCAGACATTCCTATTATTTCTAACGTACATATGCTGGTCCTTGATTTCATCTAATAACAACAACAGTGGGTCAAAGATAAGCAGACTATTACCGTTATGACCTGAAACTTGACCTGGAAGATTAGAGGGAGCAATGTTAAATCCCATAATCCCCTTTTGGGGCAAGCAGTCAAATGAGGTCTCTGGCCTGATGGTGGAGGTTGCATATGATTAAGAAATAACACGATTTCCTTCATGGTGATCAAGCATGTAGATGGCGAAGAGGCAAAAAGAGTGATTTTCATAATCCGACAAACGGGGAGTTTTGAACACATGAGGCAATTCCAAAATGTGGAAGATCTGTAAGAAACGAGAGCAGCGCAGCTTGGCACAAAATTCGCACAAAAACGAATTAGATGCGGGGGAAAGGGCGGCAATTGTATCACCTTTCACTTCTCACCTTTGGGATGGTCAAGTCAGAGAATTTTCCTGTTGCACGTGCATTAGGAAGCACCTCCGATGGTTTTTGGTGGGAATGCATGAGACAGGAGCTCTTCCAAGTCTTCAGGCTGAGTTTAGGTCTGATGATTACCCTTAAAAAAAGAACAGGTTGCAGGAACATCATTCATTTCATGATTTATCAATAGCTGCCATTATAAACACACCTAGAAAGAGGGGAGTGATGACTTCAACAAGTCTGAGGTCCAAATGCAGCTTCCGCAACATGTCATGGGCTTTTTCTTACGGTTTCCATCCATTTTCTAAAGTGTTGTCAATTAGGGATGATGGTGAGCTGGCGCTGATTACCGCTGACTTGAAGTGAGAGGCGGGGAAGACCCCAGACTCGTCGTCAGTCAAACCCTGATTATATTTATGACCCATACTGTATGAGCGTTTTAAACATTTTTTTAAAAAAAACATCTGGACAAATGAACACAACTGAGCAAAACGGAGTACTGGAAAATGAGAAGACAAGTTCTGGAAACAGGTCAGGACAAAGATTTTTCTTCCAGATAGCTGCAAATTCATATCAGCAAATTAATTAATACATTTCAGTGTCAAGATCTAGCAAAAACCACAGTTGATAGCATCAAGGTGCATTTTTCTATCCATCTTCACCTTCAATTGACTGAGGCAAGTGCTGTCCTGTTTCTAATCACATCCCCTGCAGCAGCAAATATTTCCAAACTCCTGGGAAGGAGAAAAAAAAAGTGTAAAAATTAACTGAGGAGTTCAGAAAACGGACAATCGTGTCACAGACTCCGTGTTGGCACTCCACCGAGTGTCAGATAAGCTCATGCTCTGCAACATGCAAAATAATGACTATTTTCATGCCCATGCTCGTTTCCAGTTATCGTTTGAACCACAATCTGTGGCAGCCTGAGATTAAATCTTTACAGTAAGACCAATGAAGAAGCCATTGATAAAAATAGAAAGTCGCACCCGTGTATGGAGCGTGGACTTTGTGGATGTTTCTTAAGGAGGATATCCAATAATTTTTTTTTTAATGAGAGGCAGTCAAGAACATAGAATACTGCTTTAAAAATGTACCAGCTCTCTTTATTATTATCACTGTATGAAGCATGTTACAATGATATATGGGGTTGTCGTTTACAGGATGATTCACAGGAAAAAAAAGAGCATCATAAAAAGAAAACAAAAATCAGAAACAAAGAGTTCTTTTAAAAAATAATGATTAAAAAAAAAAAAGGGCACACACCACCCTGCATGACAATGTCATGTAGCAACAATTGGGGAAGACATCCACCATATGCCTTTCAAAGCATCACTTCTGTTGAATCATTCAAGTTCCACCAAGATCAGCACAAGTCCGTTATTGTGTTTCATTTAATGTCTGTAAGGTTTGGACCAATATTGGATCTTCAATCCGCCGGAAAATAGCACAAAAGTTCTTCCCTCCGTTGCGCTGCACTTTCTTTCCCTCCTCTGTGCACACACCCAGTCGAGAAATGATGACATCATCAACCTGCAGAAACCAATGATTTGGATGAGACAGACACACACCTGTGCATTGTGCAATTCAATAAACCTTCAAATGAGATAACACGACACAACCATGTTGGTTCGGAATTGTTGACTGAAATGAGAGCAAAGAGCAGAGAATTTAACGCCGCCTCTACAAATTAGAGACGCCATTGTAGAGACGAGGCAGGAATTGAATCAAAAATTAATATTTTAAATAACTGATTGGTGACATCTCATACAGTTTGTTGAAGGTGACAGGCAACTACTTGAAAATTTCGTATGAAGAGACGCTTGTCAGTAGAGGTATTATCTTATATTTTAAATATATGTACGTACTATTTTCCGAGAATGTTTCGACAATGGCAACAATTTAGGCAGATGCTGCCTTTACATGTCAGTCATCAGCGGAGAAATGAGTGGAAGAACAATGGGAGTTGGAAAATACCTCCTGATTTCAAATCAAGTAGAGGAGTGGTTGCGGGACCTAAACCTCTCAACTGCCGACGTGCATTGAACAGAGTGTCTCAATTTGAAAGGCCGAACTACAATAAGAGAGCTTGGAGAGTTTAAATATTTACTCAAATTCTCACTTGAAAAGTTAAACCCTTCAAAGAAAACTGGAACACAGCGAAAAAAAAAAAGAAAGTGTGACCTCTGTGGAGCAGACAGAAAACAAATACAGTTGTGTGCGAGCTGCAAACACAGAGTGCCTCCCCCCCCCCAAAAAAAAAAAAATGCTCCACGTACCAGCTCTTCATCGGGGACCCGTGTAAACAACGGATGTTCGTTGAAGTGCTTCACCATCCAAAGGTGGACCTCCTCCACGTCTGTGATGGTGTAAACCAGACCCTAAAGAGAGATGCAGAACGGCCAACAAAATAAAAGGCAAGCCAACAAATTTGTTGTGAGCACCGATCAATATAGTTTCCAATCACCATTTACAAACTGCATTTTACCTTATCTGTGTTTTGTGAGCTTAAATATTAAAATATGATGCACAAAAAAGACTGAGAAGACGATAAATATATATATTTTTTAATATTTGGTGGTGTACGACTTGCTACAGATCCAAATGAGGGTTTTGCAAACCTGACAGACCACAGAGAGGTCTGTGGTTCAAGCGAGAGCCATTCCACTTTTTAAACGTTGAGTGCAAATTGCGTCTGAAGGTTTCATCATATGTGCAGAGCAATGATCAATGGCAGGGTGATAAAAATAACCCGGAGACAACACAGAGGTTAATCCCCGAATGTCACTGTAGTTTACACTGGAGACTGCACAGATAGCTTTACTAGAACAAGGACTTCTTAGAAAACTCAGTCATGGCACACATTACCACACCGCACTGCACTTTAGCTCACTTTTATTTCCCCCCCACTCCCGCTGGGAAGCTGAGATTAAAAAAAAAAAAAGAAAAATGGACACACTTTATCTGTCGCTCATTAACTGTAATTCATGTTTTGGCGGGAGAACTGTATCTGCATGTAAGTGGCTTTTGACTCAGCATGACACTGTATTTCGTTATAGTGTTTTGAGCTGTTGACTGCTTTTACGTTCTTAATTTATTGTTTCAACCGTCTGAGTATTTTTTTTCCACTTTGTATGGATTGTGAAAATGCTCTATAAAAACTGCTGAGTTGAGTTGAGTAAGTAGACTTCTATGACAGCCATCCCACTACACCAACACAAATATGGCTTGGCGCCAAAAGAGAAGGTCCTGGCGGACCTTTTGTACACGCACACACACACCCATTCTTGAAAAAGGAAAAAAATTAGAAAACTAATTCGGCACAAGGCACCTTCTTAGGTGTATTAACGTGTGCCACCTTCGAAACTGCAGAAGTGCGTCAATGGCCTTCGAACTCCCAGAGTTTGAGCCCCCAATCAAGATACAGATATTTGACTTTACAGTGCATCCAGACATATTTAATTGTATTTTTATTACTTTAAGATAATGGGCTTTATGTGTGACATCACGCAACCAAACCACAATACAGGTTAACGGTCTTCCTGCACGCATAGCAATAATTAGGGTAAAAAAAAAAAAAAAAAAAAAAACGGCTGATGACATGATGCTTTGAACTTGTTCGAATATTCTTTTCTTTATCACTGGCATATTCGGACAAAAACGTAACGTTAACCGTGTGTATGATTTATCTACATATAATGTATATGATCAGGGTTGGGAGGAAAAAACAAAACAATCTTTCGGATAATTGATTCCAAAAAGATTCTTTTGTGACAGCCATATATGATGAGAACAGGATATATCGCATGATATTTGATAAGGTTTGATATGTGTTAAGACAAACAAAGCCGAAACGTCACATATGATCATTTTTGTTAACTCTTAAAGAAATCTGATGTAGAACAGAAGACACTGTAAACGTTTCTATCGGTGCTTTGTTCCAGTCTCCTGCCATGGGGTCGGAGGGATAGCTAGCTAGTTAAAACCATGCGCTAGCGGTAGAAATTACACCGTGGGGGGTGGAAAGTGACTCATGCTGGTCTTTTAACTATGTTGACAGGGCAGCTCAAGTTATCCTACAGTGGCGGAGAGGTGGACGCCCGGGTGTGCACTGAGCCCCCTTTTTTCCACACCCCAAAATCCGGAAAAATGAAAGGGCGAAAAACTATTTTGGGCTCTTCTCTCCACAATTGTACGTAGCTCTCAGTCTATGCACGTTTTCAGCAATTATCATCAAACGTTTCCGATTTATTGTAAAACAAACGTCGGACCTCCACCTCTTTTGTGGAGAACGTAATAATATCGCTTCACACAAATGTTCCATGACCGTGCTTCGATTTGTGTTTTACATACCCCGACTCTCAGTGTGTAGGCATACTCTGCTAACAACGTGGGACTGATGATCCTCCATTTGTGTTTGGTCTTCTTAAAATGAGGGTCCGGGAAAAGGAAGAACATCTTACTTAGCTGAAAAGAAAGAAAAATGGTTCGAAACCCTTAAGTGAGCTTGGAGATTGAACTTTGAATCACTCTGACACACACATACACCAGCTTTCATATTATACAATGTAACCTTTTCAACATGGCAACCATAAGACTCTGCGGTTGGGTGTTAAACACAGCTGGAATTTCCCTTTATAGTTGCCTATACTCACGTGAAATGCACAGACTGTTGATATTAGTCTGCCAGATCCATTCAATAAAATTCAAACAATTTTTTCCCCCCCATATATCGAAAAATGATTCATGTCAGGTCTGTACAGAAAGATGTGAAGTTAATCACCAGGGACTGCAGCAGCCTCAGGGGGGCTCAGTGCTGGCGGAAGATAAAAAAAAACCCCAAAACATTGTGTTCTTTTTCCAAGTTACAAAACAAAGGAAAAGACAGACAAGTGTTGTTAGGTCTTCATTAAGGCTCGGCGTGTTAAAAGGTGGGACCATGAAGTTGACTCACCTTCAACAATCCCCTCTCATCATCTTCATATTTTCTGTCACGTAATCAAAATGAGTACAGTAATTTTGATTTGATTATTTCTGTCATTGATGCAATTTTGTTGTTTAGAACCTTCTCATATTTTTGTAATTGTATGACAGTTGGAAAAAATACAAGTTAAAACATGGGCTAGTACATGTACATGTTAAACACGTTACAATGTCTTTTATAATGGAGACAGTCAACCGAATTTTAATGGAAACCCTAAAATGAATTGTGTATGACTTTAGAGTTTGCACTGAATATGCATCACGTCTATACTTCAACATGTCAAACTCATGCCTTGTGACACTAATGTAAACAATCAGCCCGTATAGTGCCCTTGAGAGCTGCGCTCCAGTCACGGACCAGCAGGGCAAACAAACATACCGGTAATTGATCACGCTGTAGTTACAATACATTTTAAAGGTTAAAAGTCGCTCTTGATTATGCTGAACTGTCACCACGTTCAAATCTGCTTCACTGAGATTGAATAATGGGGCTTGTTATATAAACATAGCATCTATGACATCATAGTAACCTTGGCAATAGACCATCAAATGCTTTAAATTGGCTCGCTAAGAATTCCATACAGAGTGCAACAAGAATGGGGCAGATGGTTACTAGTAATGTTATGTACACTATTTTTCAAATCAAACGTACGATCAATTTCCTGGTCAGTGCAATATCCAGTGGACAGTCTAACTTTTTTGATCATCAATAAGTATCTTAGCTTCCAGAATCATGAGGACTTTATTGAACAAACGGTGTTAAGAGCATTGGTGTGCAAATACCGTGTTCCAAGTTATTATGCACAACATCTTAGAAGGACAAAATAGGTTGTAATCTGCCATTTTATAGAGATCAGTTAAAAAAAATTCTAATTAAGTTACCGTGGATCAGGAAGCCATCTACACACCCCGGTTCATATTGCAGGTTTTTGTTGTTATTAAAAAAAAAGAAGAAAAAAAAAAAACAAGTTAAATTATTTCAAACCGTTTTCCACCAATCTAACCTATGATCTGTACAACTCAATGAAAAATTAAAAAAAAAAGTGAAAAGGTTTACTTCCCTCTGGAAAGTAAAATAAATAAACAAACAACTGAGAAAATGTGGCCATACAAGTGGGCGTGGCCTCTTACCATCTTGGGTTGAACTCAATGCAAACTGTTCTGACTTGTTCTTTTGTGCTATTTTTTTTGTGCTTTCTACTTCTTTAGGGCAGAAGGCATGTTTTTCCATTTGATACCATGGCAGTTCTCATTTTTGCTCAAGTCATTTCGACCACTCCAGGCACCTGGCTACCATCTCACTTCCCATTATTAGTGCCCCAAAAGATCACTCTTCCAGTTTCTTGCCGACATTGCAGCCTTTTGGTACATGGTGGTCATCTACCATCCATCCAAACTTTCATCCATCTGGACCATCCATGGTAGCACAGGATTCAGTCAAGTAAATTGTCGTTGGACTATGTCACACTTTCTTTCAGTGTAAAGATCCTTCTTTATCTTTATGATTCATCCTGTTGAGTTTTCATTCAATTTGCCAGAGAGGAATTAAAGTACCACTGTTTATTCGTTCCGTGATACAATACTTTGTAGTGATGCAAATATGGCAGATGTACTTAATGTTGAGGAATGTAGGTTAAATTTTACTCGACTGCTGCTTTTGATATAATACTGCCTCAGCCCATTTGAGGTGAACATTTAATCCCCTGCGTTACAATACTATCATTGTGTAATTTAATAGGCATTTTAACATTAACCGGATAAAAAGTGTCTTGTGCGAATGTACTGGCACTCTAAACTCAGCTGATGCAATGCCCCCGTACATCAATCACTACATTGTTGAGAAATCTCTGATATATATAATTTTTTGGGGTGGAGGATAGAGGAATGTAATTATTTTTTGTTTGACAGATGACTCTTGTTACCTTGGCAGCACCAGGACCGGACATCAGCATTCATTTACGCTTATTAATAGGACTACAGGCTTTTGTATCAAAACTCTTGGTAGGATAGGGTGGGTGATGTCAGCGGGAAGTAGAAACACAAATGTCACATTTAGGACTGACTTGTACATTTGTAGTATGATGCAGATGTAATGGCACTTTGACAAAAGTCTGGCACCTTCACCGACCACAGTTGATACAGAAGGAAACAATAAAAGTAATCCCTTTGGTTGGTGACAAATCACATGAGCAGACTAAGAAGAGTTCAGGCACAAAAGTGAAGAAACTGATAACATATTTAAAATGACATTGTTAATATTTTCGGGGGAATTTTTTTGTTTGTCTATTGAGGAGCCTTTAGCCCTTTTGTGCACAAATTATGATAACCTGCATCAGTAAAAGCAGTCAAATGGATTTCAGGTAAATCCTACCTGTCCCTTCTTGAAGAAATTGGGAAGATACTTCATGGCGTTGCTGCGAAGGCAGGCAATGTTCTGGTAGCTTCCTGGATTGACCTCACGCAATGACTTGATACGATCCTTGACAAAATCGGACACTTTGACCCGGATCTCCAGGCCCAGCATGAGTTTGTCTGGAAAGAGTGGAGATAACTCCACTGAGAGAGGATGCATGAGCTACAAATTAAATCTCCAAAGGTCGACAGACAGACAGAAGAAGTCTAAATGGCTAAGACGCAAATACCTAAAAGTCCCCCGTATCCACACCCAATGTCTGCAAACTCAACTTGTGGAGTTCCTTCCCCAGACTGCTCCTCAGTAAAGAATTGTGGATACAGCGTGTGCCAGTCCATGTCCTCTGGACACACAGGACTGACAAAACAAGAATGAAAGCAATGATTTAGCCCCGATGAAGGATGAACACGTACGGAAAGAGTTCAAATTAAAATGAGAAAGGTAAACAAGAATACTGTTCCGTGAAAGACGCGGAGAAGGTACTGTATTCAGAAATGGTTGAATAAAGTAAATACTCATGACATCACTCACTAGTCAAACGAATGATGAGCCATCGGGTTGGAATGTGCTCGCTGTCTGTAGTAACGCTTTTGCGGCATTGACGAACTCATCTTGGCTTCACCAAAGATGTTCCTCCCGATAGCAGGCAAGATGCTCTTTTATTCGCTTCTTCTAAAACGAGTACTCACTTAAAAAACTCTCGTGTCACGTTTGCGGCTCCATTCTTTCCACAAACACGTGTCGCATAATATACGTCATCGTTAAGCGACCAGTATTTTTCTGACTCCACTTTTTAGTAAATAAAAACAATGCTCATAAAACTGCTAGTTATAATAATAATAATAATAATAATAATAATAATAATAATAATAATAATAATAATTGGATGATATATGGCGCGATAATAAATACTATATATACAAATTTGGTTACGGTATGCAAAGTAAAAATAAAAGGGACATTATTATAAGAAAGTATGGAGCCGTTCCTACTGAAAAATACAATACAGACGACCCCCGCAATTCACAGGTAGGAAACGGGCTGGCCCATGAATAGCAAAAATGCTTGTATAATTGATGGCTATTGAAATGCAGTTTTTTTTTGTTTTTACAAACACCCAGAGTTCATCAAAAAAGGCAGATGAACTTTTAATATACGTTACCGAATAATGAGCGCGTATGTGCACTGATTACAAACCTGGCCACACGTTTTTTTTCTCTAGCAGATCAAGTTTTTATAACACAAAAACTAGTACTAAGACTAATATGTAATTGAGTAACTTATGAAAGGCTCGGTTCAGCAACAGGTGGAATTTTTTGCTGAAGCGTCATTGCAATAAATTACAACAAATGTATGTATAAAATCTGTATTGCGCAAGATTTCATGAGTCAAATTTAAAAACTAAATGTCATTATCAGACTTGGACACATATGCAGGGTTCGGAGTAAAAGGGCTATTTATTTGAAGATCAGCGGCTGAAAACTCAGAATAGGCAAGATAAGCATTTTTCTGCCATTCAATGTACTTATTTTACTCTACAACTATATAGATTTGCCAAACAAGCCGTTGTCATATACAGTACTGTATAGCCTTTGTTTAATGGTTAAACGTACAAATAGTTTTGTACACGTCATATGCATTGTTTATCTTGTGCAAGTAGTGCGTGGGTGTCAAGTACCAGCCGTAAGTTCATAAACGGCATAACACAGTACTGTATTTTATATATTTATACCTTCTTTACCTCCACGGATTCAAAAACATTACAATTTGAGCAAAAATGAGGCCAGTGCATCACGGCATAGTTTTATTTGGATTTTTAAAATCTGATCCACTTCGCTCTGCAAGTTCAAATGTCTCAGTGGATACAATTGCAGTCCAAATACGCAAAACAGTATTTCTACAAAAGATATGTCAATTCTTCAGAAAGCAGCTGAAAAACTGATGGGTCCAGGCAGTAAGAAGAAGAAAAAAAAAAAAGATAACAGTACATACAACTTTATGTTAGTCATGACAATAAATAAGATGTAGCACAACCTTAAAAATGTACTTTTATTCAACAATTGTCATTTTATTCAACAAATGATGTTCATTTTTCTTTTTTTTTAGAGACTCCGATGTAACCAATCCATGATCCATTCACCCACTGGCCACATAAACAAAATTGTGCTTGTGTGCATTCAACCTGACTACAAGTTAATGGCAGTGTTGCCTGCAACACCAGAGTTCATTTGTTTGGTTCTGACCATGCTATACAGTGGTCACCCTCATGACGACCTCATGGTTGATGGTAAGGTTGTTGGGCCTTAGCCTGTTCAGGATACTCAAAATCGTATTGCCGATATCGAGAGTAATGCAAGACCTTGAACATCGCCTCGGCTCCTGCCCGTTATCGGGGAGTTCTGCAGTGGTACTTTCCTCACCACCAGCGCCTTTCCTGCTGGCATCTTTCCTTTTCTCATAATTGAGCACTTTCCACTTCTGATTCATTGTATGCCAGCGCTTTATAATCCGGTAAACAGATGGTCCTTCTTGGATTAGAAGTCCTATGCATATAGAACAAAGGGTAAGGGTGCAGCAAAGAGGGTTAATACTATTTATTGGATGGGAATCAGGAACTACTTCAAAAGGAACAGTGACAAAGTGTGAGTTCAGTTAAGTGTAGGAAATGTGTTCAAAGTGTTTAATATAAAGACATAAATCAAGGATTCACAAAGACGCAAATGAAATAGTTGATTTCCCTGGTGCAATGTGATCTATCTCTAGTGAAAGAAATGTAAAATTGTTGCAATATCCTGTGGCCAATGGATCAGTTATTGTGAATAAATACTTTAGAAACTGGTATTTTATTCAAGTCAAGTATTTGTTCAAATGTGCATGAATGTGTGACAAGAGTTTTAGCATTTCTTTTTTAATATCAAATAAAAAGGCACATTTTACAAAAAAATTAATTAAAGGGGAAGTCAACCCCTAAATTGTCTTTCTCATAGTACTGTATGTGCTATTCAGGCCCAGTAGTCTAAACACAATATTCTAATTAATATTTCATTTGTGGAAGCATTTTGGAAAATGTTGCATGACAGTATCTGTTGTGTCGTACCTATACAAACGAAGTCCATGAAGACGTACATGCCGTATAATATCTGAAAGATATAATCCTGACGCTGGAATTCGGCAAAGGGGCTGACAATTGACCACATAAGCCAACCCAAACTAGCTATGAGGAACAGAGCGCCCAGGATGACTGCTGTAATCTGTACCTTTTCAATTAAGTTCAGAGAGATGGGTTGCCACTGCAGAAACAGACAAGACACATGTAAAGGGGTCATTATCGTCATCAAGTAAGTGCTTGTGGTGTCACTCAGTCATCATGAAATTGTACAATCTACCCAAAACACGTTTGTGTTAGTGCTCTTTAATAAGAAAATAACTGTCGTATTGTGACTTGTTCAGTACTCACACAATAAAATGGAAATTATTCTTTTTTTTTTAATGCTACATTATTAATATCCTGCTCCTTTGGTGTGGCCCCTTTGGGCACTGTTGGTCTGTTTAATACAATACATCATGCGGAGTTAAACGAAGAAGCGCCATTTCACAGCTACTATATGAGATTCAGTATAATGCTGTTATTGTCATTTTTTTGTACAGGATAACAAATCCTGGTGAGAGTTGTCTTCCTGTGTTGCTTAACCGTTTGTGTTCAAATATCCATTGGTTGAAAGGCTTTAAAACAGCAACTAAAAACCAATCATTCGCATGTTTTTTATTGAACGTTTGCATTAAACGAGCCGGCCCATGACAGTTGTGTGGTTGTTTTACATACACTGTGTATTGTTTAGTTTGACAGTAAACTTCAACTGGGAGTGGCACTAAACTGCTTGAAGCCTCTCGCGCAGGGGTCACCAACTCCCTGTTTTGGACGGTTCCCCCCCTCCCACACAACTGATTCAAATGATAAGGATTGTTATCAGGCTTCTGCAGAGCTTGCTGATGAGTTGATCATTTGAACCAGGTGTGTTGGAGGAGGGAAACATCTAAAACATGCAGGATAGGGCCCCTCGAGGACCTGGTGTATAAGTAAAAGCAAAAAAAATAAAAATAAAAAATACCTGAGACAGTACACTAAATTTGAGATCTGAAAATATTGTTTACTTAAGGGGCATAACGTTTTGCGATACGAGTTGGGCCCACATGGAGTCAAGCAGCTGCTTTTTACAAAGTTGTAGAGAACATAAAATGTAATGAAGTGCACTTACACCAAATGACAAGAGTATTTATTGAGATACTTATCAAGTATAAAACCATACCAAAATCTAGTGCAGCCGCTTTTGCTTAATACATTTTTGCACGTTTTGAATGTTGAAATGCTAACTCAAAATGTAAGCAGTCCAAGTGTCACATGTCACAGTTCAGCTGTACAATGTCGACCAGTTAACACAAATATTCTAAAACGGACGCATTTCGATTTGCATTGTTCATCTGATCGTGATAGTGGTAAGCTATGTAAATAATGTGACACAAGACAACAACCAGTGGAGGAGTTGATTCATGCAGCAATACTTTCGACCCATAAACGACTAATCCACCTTTCAGGTTCTGTATACATGTAGCAGGTACCCCCAACAAAAGGATGCAAGGAAAAAATTGAACTTTTCACAACTTCAGAAGAGCATACTACATAAACCTCTTCATTTTGCTAAAGTTCACTGTATATCACATCGGTGATGTCTGTGATTCTGTGGAGACCCTGCCTTGATTTATCAACCAACAGGCCACCATGTTGACCAAACACAAAAGGTTGGCGACATTATGATACCTGCAGTGGGTTCTTGGTGCAAACGGAAAAGACCCGGTATTTGAAGCGACAGAGCTCACAGTTCCAGGAGCCTGTTTCCCCGATCCAGCGAACAAGGCAAGACTGGTGAGAGAAGCGAACAGAGCCGTCGCAGCGGCAGGGGCTCAGCAGCTCCCCCTGCAGAACACAAAGAGGACCTACATGAAGTCAGAGATCATCCATTTGATGTGCTAAAGTCACCGGGAAGTGAATAATTCCTTTAAAATCGACAGCATACAACTAGCCCCTTAAATGGTGACGCTAAAATAATGACATTATTGACCTTCACACATATTTTGTTCCGTTGTTTTTTTTTTTACTCATACTTTTTGACATTCATTCCAATATTACATTCAACATTACACATTTACAGTACACTGTTCCCATTTGGAATTTCAATCAGTCAACTAATTCATTTCACCTTTTGAGCAAATTTCAACTTGAAAGAAATTCCCACAGACCAAAAATTCAAACAAAATAAATTACCATTGCAACACCCAAATTATGTTCAACAAGGCAAAATCTACACACCCCACAAAAAATGCCACATTCATTTCCAATGACACATTTGAAAAGGCATTCATTACATTCAATATAATTTCACAACATTCGACATTTTTCAATATCATTCTATATTTTTTCACTTCCAATGCACATCATTCAAAATCTGTAGACGATTCAATATTCATTCTTTACACACCATTTCACCAGAAATTACAAGTCTAGTATTTATTATTTGCCCTATAAAGTAACAAAATGCAGCGTATTGATCTGTGTTCCTCTTTCAGATTAGGTTGAAACGTGTCTTTCCAAGGGGGAAAGACACGTTGCTGTTATTTGATTTTGCTTGAACTATATTAGTCGAGGATGAATATTCCTTCTGTGACAAGTCAGCTGGGATAGGCAACAGCACACCCGCGACCCTAATGACTATGCAATACTGTATAGAAAGGCGATGGATGAACGTAAAGCAGGATTCCCCGTGGCACCATGCTGCCTCCCACAGGTCAGTCTTGTTAGCGCATACAACAGTTATTTCATGTGTGGGATCTAAACTTTGAAAAATCACACGTACACCACGCTTTACAGAACAGCTCTGATGCATCATATTTCATTACAAGTTTAGGGTGAACCAGGCTTTTTTGTGTATAACCTGCTTTCACTGATTTGTCGCCCAATAGTCACCAATTGTGAGAATTTCTCCCCTTCAGTCATTGCTTGTGAAGGCTCTCAGTCGTACAGGAAAGTTCCATCGTAGAAAGGGTTCTGTCAGTCGTCATCTGTACCTGTGGGTAAAAAACAAAAAAAAAAAGGCAAAAAAGGACGTTTCGCTTCTCTCACAGAAGCTTCGTCAGCGGTAGACAACCCTGAAGTCTCCGTGAAGACTCCGGGAAGTTGCTCTGCGCTAAAAAGCTGAGCGTGGCCTGTTTGAGGACTGGGTGGGGATGGTTAGTCACGCCCCTATTGGTTTATTAGAGGCCCATTGGTTTCTAAATTCCCTATCATTGGGTCTTGATTAGGCCTATTGTTTGGGCTAAGGCTGAATAGCTACTTTCAGTTAGCCTGATCAGCATGTCTATGTCCCTTACTGGTCAACAAGTTATTGTAAATAGGAGACAGGTTAAATCTGATACCTCCTTCACGGTTCAGAGAGGGTGAAAATTTTTTAACAAAAATCGCTTCTTTTACCCCCCTTTCAAACCATCTCTTTTCTGTTCCTAGGATTTTTACTTGTTCATCTTCAATTGTGTGGTTTGCTAGCTGAAACGCTGAAACGCTAGCTGAAAGAACTAAACTGTTGCCGGAACACATTTGTGAACTGTTAGAAATATGCCTCAACACAACTTACTTCAAATTCAGGGACACGTTTTACCACCAGGTCTTTGGATGTGCCATGGGATCCCCTGTGTCTCCCATTGTGGCCAACTTGTACATGGAAGAATTTGAAAATTTGGCAATGTCTTCAT